AGGCCCATAACTTTTGATCCAGAGCGTTGCGACCCATTTTGAAAGGCTTTTTCGAACGCCGCTGGCGAGAGCTTTCCAACGCATATTTGCTTGTCGGTCAAAATTTTGGGGCACGTGTTTATTTTTATTGTCCCGCCCCAAAACTGTCAGACAATCGTTGGAACTGTCAGGTGAAAATATTTTGACCACGTTTTCGAAAAATTTTGACCTGTGATTCTGACATGAAAAAATGCGGCGTAACCTCTCGTGTCAAAATTCTGACGTCTCGTGTCAAAATCCTGGTCTCGTGTCAAAATTTCGTGCTCGTGTCGAAATTCCTGACACACGTGGATCGATAGTTCGGGTGGCTCATGGCGGAGCGTGGATGGGTAGAAACGTGTTGAAAACTGTAAAGTATAGTATAAGTCGGGGGCGTGCCAGTGCTCGTCAAACCATCACGGCATCTGGTCACGCCTTCACTCTTTGTCGCTCAACGAATCTCTCTGAACCTTCACCAAATACCTCTCGCAACCAAGGAATATATGTAGAAAGTTCCTATTCTTCCGCATCTCATCACTGTAACTTTCGTACGTACGTACATAACATCTCAACCGTTATATACGAGTATATCGAATAGCATCGACCGCGCTAACCGGCTGACCAATTAAAAGACGTCAGTGCCAGCGGGTAAAAATCAAGGTCCCTGGAAGGGGGCCAAACTTCGAAAAATAAATGCGCAACGCGCTTGATGCGAATGCCAATACGACTCTCTCCACATGTTCTTTCACGTAGACACACATCTCAGCTACACAAATGCCCTCGCTCGAACCTNTATTATTAGCATCGACCGCGCTAACCGGCTGACCAATTAAAAGACGTCAGTGCCAGCGGGTAAAAATCAAGGTCCCTGGAAGGGGGCCAAACTTCGAAAAATAAATGCGCAACGCGCTTGATGCGAATGCCAATACGACTCTCTCCACATGTTCTTTCACGTAGACACACATCTCAGCTACACAAATGCCCTCGCTCGAACCTAGGAAGCCACTGATGCAAAGAGCGGAGGACAGCAAAAGGGTTATTTCAAGCCCAGCCGAAGCCAGGATATCGTGGTATGCTGCATCTCCCAATTTATTTGATGATCGTACACTCCCAAGATCCAACAGTCATTGTGTCAGCATCTAGATGATTCACACAAAACAGCAACACATACATACACTGCCATAGCTCCACACATGCCCTCGCCCGAACCTAGGAAGCCACTGATGCAAAGAGCGGAGGACAGCAAAAGGGTTATTTCAAGCCCAGCCGAAGCCAGGATATCGTGGTATGCTGCATCTCCCAATTTATTTGATGATCGTACACTCCCAAGATCCAACAGTCATTGTGTCAGCATCTAGATGATACAAAATAGCAACACATACACGGCCATAGCTCCACACATGCCCTCGTCCGAACCTAGGAAGCCACTGATGCAAAGAGCGGAGGACAGCAAAAGGGTTATTTCAAGCCCAGCCGAAGCCAGGATGTCGTAGGTTACGCAGGAAAACAGAGACCAAAAATGTCGGGAAAGCACAGCGACAAAGAGGACACCGAGCCTCCCAAAAGGTCAGAACGAGGCACAACACAACACAAACGCCAAATTCAACCTCACGAGACTTCACCCAAGGCGAACAACGAACGTTGGCAATAAAGTGCTTTGCTCTCGAAACCAAAAACTGCACCCGCCACATATCCCGAAGGGTCGCCTGCACCTCCCCCCCCTCCTTTGCTCTTGTTCGCTTGACCTGAGTTTCATGAATGAGTAGTGAACGAATGCACAACAGTCTTCGAAAAAAGGTACGCCGTTTCGCTGTGCTCGCCGTCTCTTCTATGTGTGTACAAGAAAGAGCGGATATGTTCGAGACGAGAGCGAATCTCGCCCTCTGAAATCGTAGATTTAGGCACGACTGGCCTATAGCAGATGGAATGAATCTTTCCATACACCCACACGCAGTGTGCGGCTGCAGCAGACCGCTGTTGATGATCCAGGATCTACAGGTCTGACGTGCTGCAGCACATTTTATGGGGGGGGGTCGAATGGTGGAAAACCACCCCTCCTACTTTTTCACATCTGCGGGGCACCATGTTTCTGAGATTTTTGTGTCCTTAAAGCGGGGAGTTCTTTAATATTGTGTCTGTAAAGCGGAGATGACTGTACTTCTCTGTTGGTGGCGGTTGCGATGTTGCGATTGGTGTGCGCCCTCATGCATCTCTGGCAGAATTCCAGTGCCAGCGCTCTAATTGAAAGAGAACCAGGGAGCCAGTCGCGAAGGTCATGCTACCACTAAAGGGGACTGTAGAGATCAAGGCATTAATGTACAACACGTGTTGCAAGCTGACTACGGGGCCTTGTGACATGCGGTGGAATATTTCATCCACAGGCTTATTCCGCCGCATGCTGAAACGTTCATTTTTGTTCCCGGATTTTTGTTAGTCTCGTTCCCCTGCACACATGCTTGCACACCCTTTGCTGTCTCGGGAGTCGGCTCCGCCAGTACTACTGCGGTCCCACGTAACACAGGAGTGTCCCAGACCTACAGTGCAACACACAAGTCAAGACTGATTCTACACAGGTTGCCGAATCAGCGGAAATGAGCTGGGCTGCGGTGATGGTGAGCATCAGCGTGTCTCTCGGTGGCCGTTTATCCGAGTTGTTTGATCCTCTGCAAGCACCCGAAACCTGCGTATCATCTCATATGTCTCGTGTGTGTACATGATCCCGCTATAATTGATACAGATGCATACACCATCCAGCAAGAGACTTCGGCCTTTCCCGTCCGGGAAGGTCTTTGCTACACATGAATGACTCGAACTTCATATCTAGTCTAGTCTACATTGACTCGCCTTATTCGAAGGACTACCGTACGTCAAGTTTCCGTACGCCTGCCGGTTACACGCATCGACGCGTCGGACGCACGTCCGATTGTCCGCATGCATGCACTCCCACCCGATGCTCATATATCCAAGCATGTACCCAACCCACGCAATCCTAATCCTTTAACCCGGTTGCTGTGTTCGAACACAAGGGCATGATGCCGCGTGCAGTTGAGGTTCACATAGGCCTCTCACTACATAGATGAAGTTAAAGTCTGGAGATACTATTTATAATCTTGTGCAGTCTTGTACTTCAGTACCAGTACAAAGCGAGTGGTTCTTCAAAAGTTACAACCTACAATCGCTTTACCTCCAAATTCGACAAACTTTCCTTTTTTCGGCGTTTCGCCGTCACCTTGCTCAGGGTATGCCTTCCTCGATTTGTGTTCAAGTGCGTTTGGCAGGAAACTCATCGAACCTATGCATTGTTCATGGGTTGTAGCCTGCGGCCAAGGGGTCAACTTCTCTTCTTCGAGTAGGAAGAAGACGTTACCGTACAGAGGTCAGAACATTTTCTATTGTTAAGACAACAATTATACAACAACGCATGGAATCTGTTGGACGACTTACGGAAGTACCAGAGATGAAAAGGCGTACAGCCAGCCTCAAAGCCTTGGTACGAGAATACGGAGTGTATCCCGCCCGCCAATTTATCGGCAGGGTAAGGCCGGGTACATCTACAATGATTGCCCATTACGTATGGTCCGGTAATTATCACGGCTGTTGGCGATCAAGGCTTGGCTCTACTAGTTTGATGCTTTGTTTCCAGCACGTTTGGCGGCGACTACACGCCAAGGAGAAGGTACGCGTCCTTTGTTACGTGTAAGCGTTTGCTACATACTATATTGCAAAATGCAACCAGGAATGATTAGATTACACTGAAGAGTCCAGACCAGGAGGTAGCAGTAACTGCATCAAGATGGTATAGATAGGTGACCCACGCGGCACATCGAAACAGGCCGACCCAGGTGATGAGCTGACAACATGCTTCTGCCTCCTTTTCTCCACATCCAAACGTCGCGCCATGGGGCATGGCACACCTTGCACGGACATCCACGACGACATCAACGACGACGACAACAACAACAAAAGCTGTTTGGGAGCGGCCTCATTTTCTCGACCGGTCTGGTGTGGTTCTTCGTTCAGGCCTGGATCTTCGCGATCCAAGCGCAAACCGTATGGCTCATCATTCTCCTCACGGTCACCACCATGGTCGCGGTTGTGTCGCAGGGGTACCTGTGCGCGATTTTCGTCTCCATCCCGCCGGTGAGTGAGTGCTTTCGAAGGCACAAACAAGTAAGTGATTGCTGATTTTCTGTCCAAAACACCGCTGCAATGATCGACGATTGAATAACCGGAATGCGGTGGAAGCTGCTGGCAGAGAACCTGCGTGGGATTAGTTTGGCGTCCTAGACGTCGAACACGGAGATGAATGCTGACACACCTCGAACACCTTTTGGAATGTTGTGTGAAAAAACAAGCGCAAGGGTCCTGAAAAAGCGAGTGCCGTCAGCGTTGATGATCAACACCACGTAGGTTAATCAGGCGCACATAGAAATATGTGAGTTGGCTCGGTGTGACAAACAAACACATGCTCGCGCACTTTCCCTTTCGCACGATCAAACGCTAGAGTGAGGTGAAGAGGACGACCTCATAGTTATACTGATGAGCCTTCACGATTCTCAGGCAACTGGTCGCGTTGTTTTTTATGTGAGAGCGCTGCACCGTAGTGTTAAACCTGACCTCCATCTTTAGTCGCCATGCGTATGACGTTCTACCAAGTCGATGTACAGCAGGCAAACTTGTTTGGGGGTGGACGTACATGCAAAGAAGGAGTACATTCTAAGATCCCTTTCGGACGGGATGTGTACAATCTGCAGAAGATTGACAACGGTTTTGCGACGTTCGTTTCACGACAAATTTTGGGGTCTGCCGCCAACAACCCTCTCCTGAATATTTATCGTGCCAATGTGTGGCCGCTGGCATGCATTGGATTTTGGCGGAGATGCTGACTGTTCTTGAACCGTTTCGCGTGTAGGCTGAAACACCCTCTATCCGACCCCGCCTCCGCCTAGTACAGATCTCTTGGAGTCCGTTCAACGCGACCATTGAGTAACAATACACCCCAACTCCCCCCTGTCGTTTTCGTGCTAAATCAGGATCCCAAGCCCAGAGGGGTGACGAAAATCAACAGAGAGGTACGTGAAGCAGTGCTATAGGATGTCAGGCGAAGAACATCAGAGGGCCCAACACTCCCTAGCGAGAACTCGCATTGTTTTCAGACATGCAGTGTATTAACCTTACAATTTATACTTATGACACTCCGTATTCTTCGCATGGGTTTCCCAACGACGGGGAGCGTAAAAAAATGCAGCGTCAAGCCTAACCTTCGGTTTTGCAACAAAACCCTGGAGCTGCTAGGGCATCTGTCCTCCGTATTGCACAACAAAAGCGAGCCCAAGTACACGGGGTCTCAGAAATGCACTGTAGCTGGGTGTAGGACAGGTGACTCTGCGGACAATTAATCGTGGACTGCACAGCTCTACGATGAAAACACAGGGGTGGCTAAGTATCGAGCCAAATTAGGCGTGTGAGTCCAAACCGGGGTAAGGATATGCGAATGAGCCTCGTGCACTTTTTAAGCAGTCAAAATTGGACTCCTTTTTGATGTTTCTCCTTGAGCACTCTACTTCGCAGCAATAGTTACACCACATGCATTTTTTTTCGTCCAACGTGTGCCATTCTTGGTAAGAGGGTCCGCGCGGCCTCCGCACACCACCACCAACAACCGTGCAAATGGGAGGTGGAAGTGCCCAATGAACCACTGGACAAAACAAAGTGTTGCGCGACAAAGCAGGGCAATCTCTCATTCCCGTGAGCCAATCCGGTCATTGACAAACGCAGGGCGGCACCGTTCATGCGACCTCCCCCATTCTCCATCTGTTTCCACCGCCACTGAACCCCCCTCCCTCCTCCTCCCGCAGGCTTTCGCTTCATTCCCCTTCGACGCCACCGCCAGCCTCGTCCGTAGGAAGGGGTCCGGCACAAGGCCACCGGTCGGCTGGGAGGTAAAATCTTCCCAGCAGCTCGCCGCCTCGCTTCGCCACCCCGACCCCGGATCCCCCGGCACCACCACCCCCTTCGGCCGCGACCCCGGCGGCGGTTGCCGAGCAGGTGCCCTAGTAGCGGGCCAAGCTCAGCGACGAAGCGGCGGCGGCGACATCACAGGCTGTAGAAAGGTTGTGCCGGCGGGGGCGGGAGCGGTGGGAAGTATGGAAACCCGGGAGAGCAAAGCGGCGGCGGGGGCGGTGCGTTCGCCGAAAATTGGCGATACGCTGCACATGTTGGCGCCGCCGTCGGATATCGGCCAGGTAGGTCGCGGTGGCGCGCGGGGCGCGTTTGGAACGGCAAGGATTGCGTCATCGGACGCCGGGGCTACGGCGGCGGCGACGGCAGAGGGACAATGCGTCGAAGACGTGGTGGAGTCCGGTCACGCAGGACCGGTTCTTTTGTTGGGCCGGACGAAGACGAAGCCGCTGTCGCCAGGGCCCTGCCATTCCGCCGACGGACCCCACGCGCACGGAGAGAACGGGGAGAAACATCTCGAGGTGGGGGAGTTGGGCGAGTCGCTAGGCAAGCACGACCACTTCTTAGCATGCCACAGGCATCGCCACCGCCACCGCCGCCCTTTCCACCAGCACCTCAGCCAGGAGATGAAGGTTTCCAGCAGCTGGACCGGGTCGGCACAAACAGACGCACCCAGCATCGGCTCCGACGACGACAACGACGACACGGCCGTGCGGCTCAGGTGCGGCAGCGGTGGGTCGAACTGCTGCAGCGAAACAGCCCATGTTGACAGCAAGGCTTGCGCCAAAGGCGCAGCCGCGCTGCTTGTGACGGAGCAGCAACTGGCGACGAAGGCGGGGGCCGAGGTACTGCCGCTTTCGCCTTTGGCGGAGCATCAGAATTCGGCGGCGGCTGTCTCCGTCGTCGTTTCCGGCGCCGACGGAAGCGCCAGGGCGAACGACGAAACCGTGGTGCGCGTGAGCGAGCTGCCGGACGTGTGCGCGATCTGCTTGGGGCAGTACGCCACAGGGGAGGAGGTTCACGTGCTGCCCTGCCTGCACATTTTTCACGCCGAGGTGATTGCTTGACTCTCTCGGCCGGCAAGGGGAATCTCACGTGACGTTCAGATCGTAGCAGAACATATATACTGCTTGCTGTTGCAGAGACGGTTGCTGCTATAGGCTTCAACAGCTTGTGGTCTTTGCAACTCACGGGAGTCGAGACCTCAGCTCGCCATTCATTAAACTTGTTGTTGGTCAATCGTCTGTACGACCCTAAAACCGTTCTTCTGGTGACGAAGCCACTAATGCCCCAAATCTTGCTGCGACCCGCCCCCCATCGATGGACCGATCGAATCATCAGTGCCTGGACGTCTGGATCTGCGGTCACCCGTCCTGCCCTTACTGCAAGGGTGACCTGAACGTCATCCCGCAAGAAAACAATTCCTCATCAGAGACGACGGCAATCTGTTATGCCTGCAGCGTGCTGTCGGGGATGGTGTCGTTCGTCACCGGGCCCTTAGTTCGGTTTTTCCGCGGAATCTGGGAGCGGCGGCGGCAGCAGCGCGAGCAGACGGCCGAGGGTGGCGGGGACAGGGAGGCGGGAGAGGGGAACGAAGCTGCCGAAGGCGTTGTTAGCTTTGCTCCACCAGCGTTGGAGTCTTCGGCAGCGACACCCGTGCCGCCATCTGTGGTGGCAGCGTGAGATACTCGGCACACCTGTGTAAATGGGGCGCCTTTTCTGTTTGCTTGTTGAAAGACTTCGCACAAAGGGGTGCGATCGTTGTGATTTTTCATGTATGTGTCCGTTTTTGTTCCAGGCGTATGTGTGGTGTTACATGCGTGGGGGACGCGTGAAGAACCCCCTGATGAAGACTCACGTTGTGCTTGAACCTCTTTGAACAGCATTGCTTGCTGTTGCTTAGCTCTGGCTAGAAAGGCTTGGCTGACTGTCTAATGGGAAAGCCTTTCTAACAAAGGATACACGCACGGGTTCGAATCCCGGCTGGTCACGTTCACAAGCACCATTAGTTCTTCTTCCGGCGACACCTGGCGATGGGTCCGTCCCCGGAGATCCCTACTTCTAAATCCCAGTGACCAGCCGGGTGGCTACGAGCCGAGAGTATATCTTAAGTTAGAAAGGCTTACCCATTAGACTACTCAGTCAGCTGACTGTGTAGTCTAATGGGTAAGCCTTTGTAACAGCTCTCTTTGGTAGACTGAACAACTGGGGCAGCGACTACAACCAACCAGGGAGCGGTCGGTAGCTTAACTCATCGCCTGCCTGATCAATCCCAGCGGGTTGCAGCTTCCGCCATATCCCATACCTGCTATATCGTTTCCAAGAACAAACGTTGAGGTTCTTGTACTCAAATTCCATGGCTAATCTGCAGCCTACCCTTGGGGTCGAACAACATGCAGATACATGGAAAACTCATTATTCGAAGCATGGATCGAAGATAGATGTGCAGAACGTCGTATTATAGTAGCTTGACAGTTCGCCCTCGCGTAAGTCTAAAATAGATTAACAGAAAGCCATCGTCGTAAACTGCGAGCGCACTACAAGTCAGTCGCGTACGCGGTCAGGATACTACAAACCAGTCGTCAGCACGACAGAGGACGAAGAACCTCGTCGAGAACAATGTGGAGCACGATGCTGCACTGAACCGATCGTGCCACATTGGCGGAACAAGTACCTCATATGTACCAGCACACCAATGTAAGGGAAAACTGAAAAACAAAAACGTCTCAACCAACAGATCTGATAGTGGGAAACCGGCGATGGTGACATGTACGATGCTCTACAGTACATACTGTCATGGAAATACCTACGCGATTCCTGTCTTAGTCAATGTTCAGGCGACGACGAAGTATGTGTAATCTAGTCTATATAGTATCGGTTGGAACGTAACGAATGTGGAGGAACTTAGAGCTGAGCCTGTAGCTCGTTCTGTCGTTCGGTGCACGACCTTACTCTTCGGGATCTCTCTCTGTCATCTATCGAACTGTCTGGGTACTTTAGCTGTCCTCGTCGTGCCTTGGATGCTGCTGGCATACTGCCTGGACTACAACCGTCTGTCTGGTGTATCTGTCCGTGTTGGCCACATGAATGAGCGCCGTGTTTACAACATCTCTCCATCTTCTTCTGCACTGAACTACCGCTGTGCTTCTTCTGCTGCTGCAAGCTCCACGAGCTATCACACCGACTAGCGTCGGTGGGCGTCAGCTTCCGCTGCTACGTGTTGGGTAAACACACACACAATCCCCACAATACATACTTGTAGTTGAACCGGCGGCAGATGCCTCAACATCAACAGTAAACAAAGAACGGAGTGTCACGTACAAAGGAACACATGGATCGACGGAAACTGCTGACTCACAGATTTCCTCGCAATTTCAAGTGACCGAACCGCACGATTACAACTGGTAGCGTGGTGTGTACTACTACAGCAGGAAGCTTAGGCACAGGCAAAGGGCTTTGCAACACGCGAAAAATCTTAAGGCTGAGGGTGATATACTCAATCAATTTTGAAAACGATCGTACCACGCTTTGTAGAAGACAACGCAATGAATGTCCAAAACACAGGTTATAGTCTATAGTCTAGCCTACAGAGCCTATTCACGAAAAAATGGGCACCAAGACGATCACGGGAAGCTAGGTTCGCGAGGAGGGATGACGCTACGACTTGCCTGGAGAGAGGTGGAACAGAGACCACGCCACGCCTGGCGCCCCGAGAGCTCGAAGACGGCTTCCGAGGAAGAATGTGCTCCAAGGAAGCAGAGCCAGACATTCACCACTCACTCACATCCGAATCCAGCGCGGATGGGACCAAGGGTCTTCTTGAGAAGAGGTGCATCGCTCCGAACCGCGGATTCATTCCTATCTGCAATGTATGCGTGCTAGCCGACATACGACAAACTGCACAAGTATGCGTGCTAGCCGACATACGACAAACTGCACAAGAGAGCTCTGGGAGCCCCAGTCGGGCTTTCCTACAGAAGGAGTTCGGGGGCTGCCAGCTCTCTGCTCTGTTTCATGTGAGTAGACGGGAGAGATAATGTTTGCGGGAGGATACGGAGTCCTGTGCGCTTAGGCAGGGACTGTAAACTTCGTCCAATCACAGCGCTTCAATTGCTGTTGTGCCGAAAACGGGAACCAGTCAGTTTTCATTCACGTCTCCACTCTCTACTCACTCAAAGACCTAAGCACATCCCTTTCCACCGTGGTATGCATAAGATCTCGAACGAGTACTATTTCTCTGAGTTTTGTTGAGAAACATAAAAGTTTCATGCATGTGTGGATGACAGGTGTAGAGGTGCTTGTGTAACCATTGTTGTTGCACATACAAAAGTAGGACCAAGATACGATCCGAACTGAGTATCTTACTGATGGTTGATCAGCAAGAGACCCAACTATGGATGCGTCCCTCTTAGCCCCAACTGTGGAGCTTGGGAATCCGAGACCCTCGGGCTTGGTCTCCCTCGCCCCATCGGCGGGACACTCTCTCGTTTGTCTCTCTCTTCTGAGACCCTCTCCTTTTTATATCTCAACGAAGAGAACTGCCAGCCCTTAGTAGTGGGTAGAGACTACTGCGACCTGGGCCTCCCCCCAACGAGGGAAGCCTGTGTCCTTATGACGAATTCTAAGACACTCTGCTGGTACTAGAGGTAGAGGTGAGAGATGGCGAAAAAGAAATCAGCCGTGCAACGCGCTCGCGAGAAGGCGGAAGAGGCGGAGAGCAGGCGGCCCGAGGAGCAGCAACGACGCCTTGAGCTGGAAGCTGAGTTAGAGCAGCTACAGCAACGCCTCGCCGCTAAGCACCCGACAACCCCGCTGGCACGTGGGACACCCTCGGAACGCGTGCCTGCTTCGCGCCCCTCGGGTGGTAGCAGTCCACGGAGGAAAAGTCGGATGACCCCGAGGGTGCCGACCGCGCTAGGAACACCAGCGGAGGTGACGGTGGCGATGATTCGGGCGAGCGCGACAACTTCTTCGGCGGCGAGGGTGGAGAGGATGGTGAGGAAGTCCCCCCTGCCGCCGGCCGGGAGCAGCAGGGAGGTTGGGCAGACGAGGACAAACCCGAGGAGGAGCCTGAGGCTCTTTCATCTCCGGCTGGCGCATCCATCGTGGAGATGCTGAAACAGCACCACCGCGATGGGACCGACCCTCCGGAATGGCTCATGTCTATTGTGCTGCCCGCCAGCTCGCGAAAGGTGAATGCTGGAGGTGGTAGTATGACTGCTGTCCGACACAACCCCAACTTTAGCAGTGAGGGTAGTGCCCGCCCGAACCTCCGGCGTGACAACAGCACACCATCTGATTTTGCTCAACAGCAATCACCCATCCCGTCTCGGCAATTAGTAAACGATATTCCGCCCACAATTCGTAGAGACCCCACGAGAAATCGACAACACCAGCAGGACTAGCGACCCTCTTCTGATGCCTAATGCCTCACCTACACTCTCTACTGTTCGCACTGATGAAAACCCGTCAGCGCACACCGAGGGTACGTCTGCTCGTTTTGTCTTAAAACCANCTTTAGCAGTGAGGGTAGTGCCCGCCCGAACCTCCGGCGTGACAACAGCACACCATCTGATTTTGCTCAACAGCAATCACCCATCCCGTCTCGGCAATTAGTAAACGATATTCCGCCCACAATTCGTAGAGACCCCACGAGAAATCGACAACACCAGCAGGACTAGCGACCCTCTTCTGATGCCTAATGCCTCACCTACACTCTCTACTGTTCGCACTGATGAAAACCCGTCAGCGCACACCGAGGGTACGTCTGCTCGTTTTGTCTTAAAACCAGCAGACCTACCCAAAGATCTTGTTTTCTCAGGGGCACCTGGGCAAGATACTGTAGAACTTTTGGCGTAATACCCTGCACGTGTGAAACTGAACTCAGTAGACAGCTGCCTGGACCATGTAGTCGACCAACGTGCTGTGCGATACCTCCCGCTTCTTCTGCGAGGGGCTGCGTATGACACCCTGTTGCAGTTGACCCGGGGAACGCTCGAGTGGCGTAACGCAGAGCAGTTGGCTGATCTTCGTGCAAAAGGTGCAAGTATTCGGCTGGTGGCTCCTTCCTCTTGGGCCGAATACTGTCACGCTCTTAACTTTCAGTTATCTGCTCCCAACCGCATTTCCATTTTGGCCCGACAATTTTCGACGTTGGAACAGGCAGTGGATCAGTCCGTGGATACCGATGCATTGAGAGTCACACAAGCACGCGCGCGCCTTATTGCAGAAGCTTTTCGATCCGCCCCACCGAATATTAGCTCACACGAACACGCATGGGATGTATTTACCACTGCAACGACTGAAAACGGCGTAGTCCCCAAAATCAGAGTGGAGACTGTTCGAGAAGACGAAACTATTATATATGAGTTTTTAAGGAGGACGTTACCGTGCAAAGAAGCACGAGGCAAACAATCTTAAAGGCATTTCCCCCACATCCCTCGATACTGCCCACGCTTCGGCTGTCTCACACACTGACCCGCCACAGCTGCGGTCCACGGCGGAGGCTCACACCTCCGAACTCCAGGAGTTGGCTGCTGAGGTCAAGCACGTCAAGTCGCGTGCCGCCACCACAAGCAGTCAACCCCGGGGACCGCCGCAGCGCGCCAGTACAAGCAACAAGAGCGCACCCCTTCCTACTCGGGGTCCGTGCAGACGGAAGGACAAAGCCCAAAAGGCATCGTGATTACCCCGGGTGCCCCGCCCCCGACACCCACGACACTGAATACTGTCACCTTCGCCAGAAAGAGAGGAAGGGTGGATGGGAGCGCCGGCCTCTGACGGGATGATGGGGCCCTTCAAGGGACCCCTCGCCCGAAGGGAACAAAACCACCGATGCAACAGTAGTTGAGAGAAAAGAGGTAGCGCGAGATGCCGTACTTTGCTCAACTAATGTTGCCATGAAGGGTGAAAAAACGAGGGATTGCATTTTGCATCGGGCACGAGAAGTGGATAGAACTTGAGGCCAAGTTTTTGATAGGATTAATTCTGTTACACGTAAGGAGGTTGTAGAATCGGTAGGTTCTCCTCTGGTAGCAGAAACACCTAGCAAGGCACCACGCAAGGGACTATTTTCCAGTAGTGCAGGGCAACGCCGAAAAGGGAAATGTACTAGTATCAGACCCATAGCAGTGGCCCCGCAAGTACGACATGTTCCGTCTGGAGAGCCTTTGAATAAAAAATTCAACCCATGTGGCTTTTCGCGTGCGTTGCGTCGTGGTTCACGATTTGTAGCTTTTCACGCATCTGGGTTGAGTAAATATCCGAAATTTCCAACTGCATTGAATTCCACCTCGAAACGGGTACATATTCCCGCTCGAGTGAACAATCACCCTGTGTCTGAAATCACAATCGACACAGCCGCTGATGTACCTTGTGTGTCAGCGGAATTTTTGCAAGAGCACCCCACACTAAAAAAAAAATGCTTTGCCCAGTACCACCTGGAGCGATACAATTAAAAAGTGCTGACGGGTCACCTCTTGAAATTTTGGGGTACCTACGGTTTAATCTGACACTAGGTGATATCACGTTTCCAGTAGAAGCATTGGTTTTACCGAACCTGGGTCCAGATAACATGTTGCTATTAGAAAAGAGCATCATGAACGCCTTTGGCGCAATTTTAGACTGGTGTGGTGAACTATCTTTCAAGAATTCTGCGCTGAAAATACCCGCAACCACCGTCGACCACGGGATCAAACATATTAACATGACAGTGCATCAGGACAAATTTCTGTGGTGACACTTGACCCGTCCCAAGGAGCCGTGCCAATATATCTTTGTAGGAAGTACTGCATTCCTCCGAAACATGAAATGGCCGTTGATGTCGTGACTAGCCACGCCCCAAAGGAAACCACTCCTGCAGCCGTTGAGCCACGAATTATTACGGCCCACGCACGATCTTGAATCATCTGATGATACCCCTCAAGCATGCCGCCACATCATCGTCGCGCAAACAGTCTGTAACTGGTCGGCAATTGATACGACAGCGGTTGTCCAGATAGGTAACTCGTCTGATAGACATGTTCACCTGGACCGGGATACTCTGCTAGGGTGTATTTCTCCAGTCAAGACGGTGTCTGAAAAATCGATTAGCGCCGTCAATGATGATCGTCAGACTTTTAGGAAAATGAGAGATGAGCTGAACAAGGCGATGAAGAAGGGTTCACGGATACCACATTTTCGCCCCAACAATACTCACAACTTCTCGATTTGTGTGCCCGTTACAGGAATGTGTTTTCCCTATCGCCGAACGAACTGGGGAAATGCACCTTGACTGAAGCAGAGTTTCCGCTCGAGCCCGGTACAAAACCAGTTGATCGGGCACCGTACCGTGCAAACCCACGAGCGCAAGAAATTTTCGATAAATGTACAGCACAAATGAAAGCTGATGATATCATTGAACAGCGACCTAGTTCATGGGGATCGGCAGTTACTATCGTAGCAACAGCCGACGGAACCCCTCGATTCTGTGTGGATAATCGCGGTACCATTAATAAAGGTTAAATTCGAAAATCGTGGCCTATGCCCCATATGAATGCCCACATTGATACAGCAGGTGGAGCAAAATTTATCACTGTGTGTGACGTGCAGAGCGTGTACCACCAGATACATACCTGTTGCAGCAGCGGAACAAGAGGAGACCGCCTTTGTCACTAAAAAAGGAGAACGGGTTTTTAAACGCCTCCCTTTTCGAATTGCGTTGAGATACTTGTACACCATGTAGGACACTTCAAATATGCTGACTAGGTAGGCTATTGCTCTGCAGTCGTTTGACATTAACGTGCGACACAAGCCGGGGAGGTTACACGTTGTCCTGCATACCTTATTTCGGTTGTTTCCTTTTGAGTACCACCAACACTTGTGAGCCCCGAAACTAACACCGATATGTAGGGATGTCCCCAAGGATCCTGCTTTGCATGTAGCTGTACCGAACAGACCTTATCAAGTGGCCGCAGACCGGCTGGGAAATTTGAAACCAGTGCAAAGTGATCGCGAATTGTTTTCCATTAATTCGGTTTACATCAGCGCGACCAACGTTTTTGAAACGATGAACTGAGATATCTTGCGGAAAAAACAAGCAGCCGAGTAGGGGAAATACATCGACTTGTTGTTGGTGTTTCTCACATTAGCTANCCTTATCAAGTGGCCGCAGACCGGCTGGGAAATTTGAAACCAGTGCAAAGTGATCGCGAATTGTTTTCCATTAATTCGGTTTACATCAGCGCGACCAACGTTTTTGAAACGATGAACTGAGATATCTTGCGGAAAAAACAAGCAGCCGAGTAGGGGAAATACATCGACTTGTTGTTGGTGTTTCTCACATTAGCTATATTGTCCACACAAAAATGGGGAGCCCGTGGTCTCAAAACCCGGCACATACGACGCCGCGGGAAAAAACAACAACAATCGGGTACAAACCACTCGGAAAAAGAAAACAAAACGAAAAAAGAAAAGAACAGCTACCACACCGACCGTTCGAGGAAAGAACCCTCGGAAACCGATCAAAAAGGAGGACGCTTCCCACACCCGCCTAGAGAAAAAATCAAAGGTTAACGTACCAGCACCAGGCACAACACACCAGGGCATAGGAGTAACGGAGAAAACAGGACAAAGAGGCGGCAGATGGGCAGACAGCCAGATGTACAACAACAACAGCAACAGTAAAAGCGAGATCAAGGTACCTAACACAGCAGAGTAGGCAGGGAGGACATGAAAAAAGAAACACAGCACAGAGACCGAAGGCAATACAAAGGACATACACAAAGGAGTATAGCATACAGCAGGGAGGGAAACAGGGCGCAACAACATCAGCCGGGTACATAGTTCGCCACAAGTGCTGCCTCGGTCGCCCTACTCGCTTCTACAGCAGTGCCCGGTCGCCCGCTTCCCCGACTCTTTTTCTCTTCGGTCCTGAGATGGCCGTACTCTCTGCTTCTGCTGCCCTCGCGGGCTGGCGCTTCGCGGACGCTTCCGCCTCCTGCCTGTGCCATTTCCTCATGAGTCATGCCGCCCCGTCCTCTACCTTGTTGTACCACACCTCTGGATCCTTGGCGCTCTCTTTCCATTTCCCCCCTTCCATTTCGTCTCCCATGTTGAAGGCCACGAGGTCCTCTCCTAGACAG